CTCATTGTAGGTTAATGGAATACAGTCGCTTGGGCTCATATGAATGTGTAATCCTCATTTTTCCCTTTATTTTTATTTGCGTCTGTTCATGTACACATGCCTCTGTGTATGCAGTGATCTGAGTTTGGGAAACAGCTGTTCAGGTGTTCAGCTGATTACTGAATGAGTTTTTTTGGGTTTTTTTTGAGGGGGGGGGAACTACCCATCGCACCCCAACCCCCCACCCCCACCATCCTCTCTCACTCGCTGCTGTATTACAGGGCTCCCTCCAAATGACAGAGTGCTTTTGTCCAGCCTTTGAAATCCTTGTCACATTCCTTTCCGACGCACAGCCCAACAACAAAGGAGCCTTCATGTTGTGGAGCAGATTGGGAAAAGGCATAGACAAAACTGTGGTGGGAAAAGACCTCAGTTTGTGCCAAGTCGTTCATGCTAGAGATTATCAAAAGGATTGTATTTTTTTGTTTAGGGCCCTCTGACCTTGTTTGTTTGTGTACAGTTGTGCGAGGGAGATTCATGCCACCGTTTCCCAGTTTTGAAAAGGAAAAAGATATGATTTGCTTCCACACATGGCCTCCTGGCCATGCTTTGGCCCCTGCTATTTTTGGATAGATAGAATTTAGTGCGAGCCTCTGTTCAGACTGAGTGTGCATCATTGTCTTGCCAAGAAGTGTTGCTCAGTGGGGTGGATAATGCTTCTGGCCAGTATTTAGATTATGCAACAATGAAACTCTGTTGAATTCATTACTTGTTTTTTAGGTGCTGTGGCAGCCACATAAATGTGAATAATCTAACATGTGTCTGTTTATACTTCCAGTGAAGACCACGGAGGACAGGCAACCAATAGTGAGTCAGGAAACTGAGCAACCCTCAGTGCCTGTACACACAGGTAGCCTCCCATATCACACCTTTTCCCCACTTACACAGCTTTGCATTCTTTCATCTCCTCTCTGCACTTTCTATGCATTTTTTCTCAAACTCATAGTTTGTCTTAGAGACAAAGCTTTGCTTTTTTTTTTCTTGTTTTCCTTCATTATTTGCATGTTTTAAAGAGCCGAAAGCAAATCTAAATCTTAAATCTACTGACTAATCCACTTTTGCTGCCATTATAGGTGAAACTCTATTTCTATGTTAACTAAATGTAAATGCAGTGGGCAGTGAGCAACCCCGTGTTTGTGGCACATTGGAGTTTGCAAGGGCAGGGAAGAAGAAAGGATTTAAGACCAGGATGAAAAGGTTGAGACAATGTGTAAGGGCAGTAAAGCTAAAAAGGAGAAAAAAGAGTGAAGGGGACGACCAGGAGATGGGATCAGAAAAGAGAAAAGAAACGGGGTCAGTGGGAGAGTATAGGAAAGTAGATATGCAGGTGGGGCGTACGGCAGCACATTCCCCTGCCACCACGTCATGTTTTTACAGTCTGTGTGATAAATAGGTGGATCGTTTTCAAACAGCCGGCTTGATTGTTGCTCTGTCATGAGCTTAGATCAGCTGCCATTTTCAGGGAGGCAGCCAGAAAATTCCTGATAGGATGTTTGGCTGTGCGTGCAAGGAGGATGTAGCTGTGTTACATTTGGCAGTGCAAGCATAAAAAAAACAGTCATTCACAAGCTGCAGGAGCGTGTACTTGCATACTGTGTGCGCACACCGCATGCTGTTATATGTACATGATTTTAAACTCGGCCTGCATGAAAGTCTGAGTTGCCTACAGGTGTGTGTGTGTGTGTGTGTGTGTGTGTGTGTGTGTGTGTGTGCATAAACTGTGATCTCCAGCAGAAACAGTAACCAGGCGCTAACAGCATTAGC